TTACTCAGGGACACAGAATTGTTACTCAGGGACACAGAATCGTTACTCAGGGACACAGAATTGTTACTCAGGGACACAGAATTGTTACTCAGGGACACAGAATTGTTACTCAGGGACACAGAATTGTTACTCAGGGACACAGAATTGTTACTCAGGGACACAGAATTGTTACTCAGGGACACACAGAATTGTTACTCAGGGACACAGAATTGTTACTCAGGGACACAGAATTGTTACTCAGGGACACAGACAGGGAAGAATTGTTACTCAGGGACACACAGAATTGTTACTCAGGGACACAGAATTGTTACTCAGGGACACAGAATTGTTACTCAGGGACACAGAATTGTTACTCAGGGACACAGAATTGTTACTCAGGGACACAGAATCGTTACTCAGGGACACAGAATTGTTATACTCAGGGACACAGAATTGTTACTCAGGGACACACAGAATTGTTACTGAGGGACACAGAATTGTTACTGAGGGACACAGAATTGTTACTCAGGGACACAGAATTGTTACTCAGGGACACAGAATTGTTACTCAGGGACACAGAATTGTTACTCAGGGACACACAGAATTGTTACTCAGGGACACAGAATTGTTACTCAGGGACACAGAATTGTTACTCAGGGACACAGAATTGTTACTCAGGGACACAGAATTGTTACTCAGGGACACAGAATTGTTACTCAGGGACACAGAATCGTTACTCAGGGACACAGAATTGTTACTCAGGGACACAGAATTGTTACTCAGGGACACAGAATTGTTACTCAGGGACACAGAATTGTTACTCAGGGACACAGAATTGTTACTCAGGGACACAGAATTGTTACTCAGGGACACAGAATTGTTACTCAGGGACACAGAATTCGTTACTCAGGGACACAGAATTGTTACTCAGGGACACAGAATTGTTACTCAGGGACACAGAATTGTTACTCAGGGACACAGAATTGTTACTCAGGGACACAGAATTGTTACTCAGGGACACAGAATTGTTACTCAGGGACACAGAATTGTTACTCAGGGACACAGAACAGAATGTTACTCAGGGACACAGAATTGTTACTCAGGGACACAGAATTGTTACTCAGGGACACAGAATTGTTACTCAGGGACACACACAGAATTGTTACTCAGGGACACAGAATTGTTACTCAGGGACACAGAATTGTTACTCAGGGGACACAGAATTGTTACTCAGGGACACTCAGGGACACAGAATTGTTACTCAGGGACACAGAATTGTTACTCAGGGACACAGAATTGTTACTCAGGGACACAGAATTGTTACTCAGGGACACAGAATTGTTACTCAGGGGACACAGAATTGTTACTCAGGGACACAGAATTGTTACTCAGGGACACAGAATCGTTACTCAGGGACAGAATTGTTACTCAGGGACACAGAATTGTTACTCAGGGACACAGAATTGTTACTCAGGGACACAGAATTGTTACTCAGGGACACAGAATTGTTACTCAGGGGACACAGAATTGTTACTCAGGGACACACAGAATTGTTACTCAGGGACACACAGAATTGTTACTCAGGGACACAGAATTGTTACTCAGGGACACAGAATTGTTACTCAGGGGACACAGAATTGTTACTCAGGGACACACAGAATCGTTACTCAGGACACAGAATTGTTACTCAGGGACACAGAATTGTTACTCAGGGACACAGAATTGTTACTCAGGGACACAGAATTGTTACTCAGGGACACAGAATCGTTACTCAGGGACACAGAATTGTTACTCAGGGACACAGAATTGTTACTCAGGGGGACACGTTGTTACTCAGGGACACAGAATTGTTACTCAGGGACACAGAATTGTTACTCAGGGGACACACAGAATTGTTACTCAGGGACACAGAATCGTTACTCAGGGACACAGAATTGTTACTCAGGGACACAGAATTGTTACTCAGGGACACAGAATTGTTACTCAGGGACACAGAATTGTTACTCAGGGACACAGAATTGTTACTCAGGGACACAGAATTGTTACTCAGGGACACAGAATTGTTACTCAGGGACACAGAAATTGTTACTCAGGGACACAGAATTGTTACTCAGGGACACAGAATTGTTACTCAGGGACACAGAATTGTTTACTCAGGGACACAGAATTGTTACTCAGGGACACAGAATCGTTACTCAGGGACACAGAGGGACACAGAATTGTTACTCAGGGACACAGAATTGTTACTCAGGGACACAGAATTGTTACTCAGGGACACAGAATTGTTACTCAGGGACACAGAATTGTTACTGAGGGACACAGAATTGTTACTCAGGGACACAGAATTGTTACTCAGGGACACAGAATTGTTACTCAGGGACACAGAATTGTTACTCAGGACACAGAATTGTTACTGAGGGACACAGGGAATCGTTACTCAGGGACACAGAATTGTTACTCAGGGACACAGAATCGTTACTCAGGGACACAGAATCGTTACTCAGGGACACAGAATCGTTAAGGGACATTAAAGAATTGTTATGTCAGGGACAACACGCAGAGGAGTGGCAGAGGAGGCAATGTTTTTCAGGAGCGAGCAGACGTGGCAGCAGAGGAAGAATTGTTACTCAGGCAGCACTAGTCGCAGCCAGAGGCCAGTGCTCCCGGTGTCATCCAGCGGTCGTGTCTCCACCAGACAACCCTGCACAGATCGATTGGTTGGCTCGGTCGTCTTCCTCTTCCCAGGTCACCTCTGACACCTACAGCCAACGGTCGGTGTTACGTCAGACACAACCGTTAGTTGGCATGGCCCGGGAGCAAGCCCACTGAAATCACGTGTCCTCTACCTGCCCCTGTCCTTTGGTGTTCCCTCACCAAGCGAAGTATCGCATGCTGTGGGCTCAGCCCCACTGTACAGTGAGGAAGAGCTAACAGAGGGCGGTCAGGAACGGGGGGAGACATCCGCCTCTTCAGCAGCCAGGCGAAGAAGTACTGGCACAGGAGAGTGGCTCGGGTAGCCGGTCTAGAGACAGGTCTGTCTCCTGACCCACACGCAGCCGAGGGGGCTAGTAGTGAGGCGGAGACCCTAATTGATGATGATGAGGGACATCGCACTTGGCTGCCTCGTCGTCATCAGGCTATTGCTTCAGCACTCATCAGGAGAAGACTCTGCCAGAATTTGGCAGCGAGCAAAACAGTCCTGGGTTGCCCAGGAGGCAGCAGGGTCCAGCAGTCTGTCATGGGGGAAACAGGATTACGGCACCAGTCATGCTGCTGCAGGCCAGGGTGTCTGTCATGGGCCCCTGTACACGCCTCCTCATGCTGCTGCCAGGTTTCCAGAGTGTGTCATGGGTCCCTGTACGGGCCTCCCATTGCTGCTGTCTCCATCGCCACACTCTGCCATGTGCCACTTTCAGGTCTCCTCACACTGCTGGTGGGTTCCATTTTGTCATAGGGTGCTGGCAGATTACGGGCCTCCCATTGCTGCTGCCCAGGCCCGTAATCTGTCATGGGCCCCCGTACCGCCTCCTTGCTGCTGCTGCCTGTTACTCAGGTCCAGAGTTCCACTCAGTCATGGGTGGGTCCCTGTACGGCCTCCATTGCTGCTGTCTCCATCGCCACACTCTGCCATGTGCCACTTTCAGGTCTCCTCACACTGCTGGTGGGTTCCATTTTGTCATAGGGTGCTGGCAGATTTACGGGCCTGCCCATTGCTGCTGCCAGGCCCGTAATCTGTCATGGGCCCCTGTACCGCCTCCTCATGCTGCTACCATCTGCCAGGTCCAGAGTGTCCAGGTGTCATGGGTCCTGTACGGCCTCCCATTGCTGCTGTCTCCATCGCCACACTCTGCCATGTGCCACTTTCAGGTCTCCTCACACTGCTGGTGGGTTCCATTTTGTCATAGGGTGCTGGCAGATTACGGGCCTCCCATTGCTGCTGCCAGGCCCGTAATCTGCCATGGGCCCCCGTACCGACTCCTCATGCTGCTGCCAGGCCCGTAATCTGTCATGGGCCCCTGTACCGCCTCCTCATGCTGCTGCCAGGTCCAGAGTGTGTCATGGGTCCCTGTACGGGCCCCCATGCTGCTGTCTCCATCGCCACACTCTGCCATGTGCCACTTTCAGGTCTCCTCACACTGCTGGTGGGTTCCATTTTGTCATAGGGTGCTGGCAGATTACGGGCCTCCCATTGCTGCTGCCAGGCCCGTAATCTGTCATGGGCCCCTGTACCGCCTCCTCATGCTGCTGCCAGGCCCGTCCAGTCCAGAGTGTGTCATGGGTCCCTGTACGGCCTCCCATTGCTGGGTCCCTGTACGGCTCCATCGCCACACACTCTGCCATGTGCCACTTTCAGGTCTCCTCACACTGCTGGTGGGTTCCATTTTGTCATAGGGTGCTGGCAGATTACGGGCCCCCATTGCTGCTGCCAGGCCCGTAATCTGCCATGGGCCCCCGTACCGACTCCTCTCATGCTGCTGCCAGGCCCGTAATCTGTCATGGGCCCCTGTACCGCCTCCTCATGCTGCTGCCAGGTCCAGGTCCAGAGTGTGTCATGGGTCCCTGTACGGCCTCCCATTGCTGCTGTCTCCATCGCCACACTCTGCCATGTGCACTTTCAGGTCTCCTCACACTGCTGGTGGGTTCCATTTTGTCATAGGGTGCTGGGCAGATTACGGGCCTCCCATTGCTGCTGCCAGGCCCGTAATCTGCCATGGGCCCCCGTACCCGACTCCTCATGCTGCTGCCAGGCCCGTAATCTGTCATGGGCCCCTGTACCGCCTCCTCATGCTGCTGCCAGGTCCAGAGTGTGTCATGGGTCCCTGTACGGCCTCCCATTGCTGCTGTCTCCATCGCCACACTCTGCCATGTGCCACTTTCAGGTCTCCTCACACTGCTGGTGGGTTCCATTTTGTCATAGGGTGCTGGCAGATTACGGGCCTCCCATTGCTGCTGCCAGGCCCGTAATCTGCCATGGGCCCCCGTACCGACTCCTCATGCTGCTGCCAGGCCCGTAATCTGTCATGGGCCCCTGTACCGCCTCCTCATGCTGCTGCCAGGTCCAGAGTGTGTCATGGGTCCCTGTACGGCCTCCCATTGCTGCTGTCTCCATCGCCACACTCTGCCATGTGCCACTTTCAGGTCTCCTCACACTGCTGGTGGGTTCCATTTTGTCATAGGGTGCTGGCAGATTACGGGCCTCCCATTGCTGCTGCCAGGCCCGTAATCTGCCATGGGCCCCTGTACCGCCTCCTCATGCTGCTGCTGCTGCTGTCAGGGGCCCCTGAGTGTGCCTCATCATGGTCCCTGTACGGCCTCCCATTGCTGCTGTGGCCTCCATCGCTGCTGTCTCCATCGCCACACTCTGCCATGTGCCACTTTCAGGTCTCCTCACACTGCTGGTGGGTTCCATTTTGTCATATAGGTGCTGCTGGCAGATTACGGGCCTCCCATTGCTGCTGCCAGGCCCGTAATCTGCCATGGGCCCCCGTACCGACCTCCTCATGCTGCTGCCAGGCCCGTAATCTGTCATGGGCCCCTGTACCGCCCTCCTCATGCTGCTGCTGCCAGGTCCAGAGTGTGTCATGGGTCCCTGTACGGCCTCCCATTGCTGCTGTCTCCATCGCCACACTCTGCCATGTGCCACTTTCAGGTCTCCTCACACTGCTGGTGGGTTCCATTTTGTCATAGGGTGCTGGCAGATTACGGGCCTCCCATTGCTGCTGCCAGGCCCGTAATCTGCCATGGGCCCCCGTACCGACTCCTCATGCTGCTGCCAGGCCCGTAATCTGTCATGGGCCCCTGTACCGCCTCCTCATGCTGCTGCCAGGTCCAGAGTGTGTCATGGGTCCCTGTACGGCCTCCCATTGCTGCTGTCTCCATCGCCACACTCTCTGCCATGTGCCACTTTCAGGTCTCCTCACACTGCTGGTGGGTTCCATTTTGTCATAGGGTGCTGGCAGATTACGGGCCTCCCATTGCTGCTGCCAGGCCCGTAATCTGCCATGGGCCCCCGTACCGACTCCCTCATGCTGCTGCCAGGCCCATGTAATCTTCATGGGCCCCTGTACCGCCTCCTCATGCTGCTGCCAGGTCCAGAGTGTGTCATGGGTCCCTGTACGGCCTCCCATTGCTGCTGTCTCCATCGCCACACTCTGCCATGTGCCACTTTCAGGTCTCCTCACACTGCTGGTGGGTTCCATTTTGTCATATTGGCAGATTACGGGCCTCCCATTGGGCTGCTGGCAGTAATCTGCCATGGGCCCCCGTACCGACTCCTCATGCTGCTGCCAGGCCCGTAATCTGTCATGGGCCCTGTACCGCCTCCTCATGCTGCTGCCAGGTCCAGAGTGTGTCATGGGTCCCTGTACGGCCTCCCATTGCTGCTGTCTCCATCGCCACACTCTGCCATGTGCCACTTTCAGGTCTCCTCACACTGCTGGTGGGTTCCATTTTGTCATAGGGTGCTGGCAGATTACGGGCCTCCCATTGCTGCTGCCAGGCCCGTAATCTGCCATGGGCCCCCGTACCGACTCCTCATGCTGCTGCCAGGCCCGTAATCTGTCATGGGCCCTGTACCGCCTCCTCATGCTGCTGCCAGGTCCAGAGTGTGTCATGGGTCCCTGTACGGCCTCCCATTGCTGCTGTCTCCATCGCCACACTCTGCCATGTGCCACTTTCAGGTCTCCTCACACTGCTGGTGGGTTCCATTTTGTCATAGGGTGCTGGCAGATTACGGGCCTCCCATTGCTGCTGCCAGGCCCGTAATCTGCCATGGGCCCCCGTACCGACTCCTCATGCTGCTGCCAGGCCCGTAATCTGTCATGGGCCCCTGTACCGCCTCCTCATGCTGCTGCCAGGTCCAGAGTGTGTCATGGGTCCCTGTACGGCCTCCCATTGCTGCTGTCTCCATCGCCACACTCTGCCATGTGCCACTTTTCAGGTCTCCTCACACTGCTGGTGGGTTCCATTTTGTCATAGGGTGCTGGCAGATTACGGGCCTCCCATGCTGCTGCCAGGCCCGTAATCTGCCATGGGCCCCCGTACCGACTCCTCATGCTGCTGCCAGGCCCGTAATCTGTCATGGGCCCCTGTACCGCCTCCTCATGCTGCTGCCAGGTCCAGAGTGTGTCATGGGTCCCTGTACGGCCTCCCATTGCTGCTGTCTCCATCGCCACACTCTGCCATGTGCCACTTTCAGGTCTCCTCACACTGCTGGGGGGTTCCATTTTGTCATAGGGTGCTGGCAGATTACGGGCCTCCCATTGCTGCTGCCAGGCCCGTAATCTGCCATGGGCCCCCGTACCGACTCCCAGAGTCATGCTGCTGCCAGGCCCGTAATCTGTCATGGGCCCCTGTACCGCCTCCTCATGCTGCTGCCAGGTCCAGAGTGTGTCATGGGTCCCTGTACGGCCTCCTCCCATTGCTGCTGTCTCCATCGCCACACTCTGCCATGTGCCACTTTCAGGTCTCCTCACACTGCTGGTGGGTTCCATTTTGTCATAGGGTGCTGGCAGATTACGGGCCTCCCATTGCTGCTGCCAGGCCCGTAATCTGCCATGGGCCCCCGTACCGACTCCTCATGCTGCTGCCAGGCCCGTAATCTGTCATGGGCCCCTGTACCGCCTCCTCATGCTGCTGCCAGGTCCAGAGTGTGTCATGGGGTCCCTGTACGGCCTCCCATTGCTGCTGTCTCCATCGCCACACTCTGCCATGTGCCACTTTCAGGTCTCCTCACACTGCTGGTGGGTTCCATTTTGTCATAGGTGCATACGGGCCTGCTTGCTGCTGCCAGGCCCGTAATTGCCATGGGCCCCCGTACCGATTCCTCATGCTGCTGCCAGGCCCGTAATCTGTCATGGGCCCCTGTACCGCCTCCTCATGCTGCTGCCAGGTCCAGAGTGTGTCATGGGTCCCTGTACGGCCTCCCATTGCTGCTGTCTCCATCGCCACACTCTGCCATGTGCCACTTTCAGGTCTCCTCACACTGCTGGTGGGTTCCATTTTGTCATAGGGTGCTGGCAGATTACGGGCCTCCCATTGCTGCTGCCAGGCCCGTAATCTGCCATGGGCCCCCGTACCGACTCCTCATGCTGCTGCCAGGCCCCTGTAATCTGTCATGGGCCCCTGTACCGCCTCCTCATGCTGCTGCCAGGTCCAGAGTGTGTCATGGGTCCCTGTACGGCCTCCCATTGCTGCTGTCTCCATCGCCACACTCTGCCATGTGCCACTTTCAGGTCTCCTCACACTGCTGGTGGGTTCCATTTTGTCATAGGGTGCTGGCAGATTACGGGCCTCCCATTGCTGCTGCCAGGCCCGTAATCTGCCATGGGCCCCCGTACCGACTCCTCATGCTGCTGCCAGGCCCGTAATCTGTCATGGGACCCTGTACCGCCTCCTCATGCTGCTGCCAGGTCCAGAGTGTGTCATGGGTCCCTGTACGGGACCCATTGCTGCTGTCTCCATCGCCACACTCTGCCATGTGCCACTTTCAGGTCTCCTCACACTGCTGGCTCCACACTCTGGTTTTGGACCCGTGACTGCCCAAATGAGTGAAGTGTGCGGTGATTCTAAGATCGACGGCACTCATCTGCATGTCATACTGACTGACAGTATTATTTCTCTTCCCCAGCAGACTCCAAGGGCATTTAAATTAAAGGTACAGTGTTCTGCACTAATATAAAGGCTCTCTGAAGCCTAGAAACACCCTTTTTATAAGTTAAATTCGCAGCGAATATATTCGACTCGAATCGAATTTATTCCACGAATTCGCCGAATCAGCCGAATCGAATTTTTGAATAATTCGCTCATCTCTAATTGTACCCATCAGAGTGCCTCCTTGCATCAGCTTTTTGCATCAGACTGGCTCATGGATAAGTGTATGCACTCTCAGAGACCTGGGGGGCACAGCTAAAATCTGGGGGTGGGCACAGCCAACCCCAGCACCCCTATAGATCTGGCCATGCTTAATCCTGACCCCTGAACTCTGTGCATTACTTAAGCCTGACTCCTGAACTTTGTTCATTACTTAATCCTTTCCCCTGGATTTTTTGCATTACTTAATCGTTACCACTGAATTTGACTTTGTGCAATACTTAATCCTGACCCCTGCACTTTGTGCATTGTTTAATCCTGACCCCTGAATTTTATGCATTACTTACAGTTGCAAGAAAAAGTATGTGAACCTCTTGGGATTACCTGGAGTTTTGCATGAATTGGGCATAAAATGTGCTCTGAACATCATCTAAGTCACAACAATAGAAGAACACAGTCTGCTGAACATAATACTACACAAACATTAGATGTTGCCATGGTTTAATTGCACATAACATGTAAACATTCACAGTGTAGGGAGGAAAACTTATGTGAGGCCCTAGCTTAATGACTTCTCCCAGAGCTAATTGGAGCCAGGAGTGAGCCAACCTTGACTCCAATCAGTGTGATGATATTGGATGTGTTGCTGACAGCTGTCCTGCCCTTAAAAAACACACACACCTGTTTTGGGTTTACTGGTTTCAAGAAGCACTGTCTGATGTGAACCACGCCTCGCAGAAAAGAGCTCTCAGAAGACCTACGATCAAGAATTGTTGACTCGCATGAAGCTTGAAAGGGTTACAAAAGTATCTCCAAAAGCCTTGATGTTCATGTGTCTACGGTAAGACAGACTGTCTACAAATGGAGAAAGTTTAGCACTGTTGCTACTCTCCCTAGGCGGGTCCGTCTTGTAAAAATGCTTGCAAGAGTGCAGCGCAGAATGCTGCATGAGGTAAAGAAGAATCCCAGAGTGTCAGCTAAAGACCTACAGAAATCTCTGGCACATGCTAACATTTTTGTTGACACATCTACAATAAGGAAAACATTAAACAAGAATGAAGGACATGGGAGGACACCACGGAGGAAGCCATTGCTGTCCAAAAAGAATATTGCAGCACGTTTGAAGTTTGCAAAAGAGCACCTGGATGTTCCACAGCACTACTGGCAAAATATACTGTGGACAGATGAAACCAAGATTGAGTTGTTTGGGAAGAACACACAACACTATGTGTGGAGAAAAAAAGGCACAGCACACCAACATCAAAACCTCATCCTCCACTGTAAAACATGGCGGAGGGAGCATCATGGTTTGGGGCTGCTTTGCTGCCTCAGGGCCTGGACGGATTGTTGTCATTGATGGGAAAATGAATTCCAGAGTTTATCAAGACATTTTGCAGGAAAATGTACGACCATCTGTCCGCCAACTGAAGCTCTGCACAGGATGGGTGATGCAACAGGACAATGACCCAAAGCATACAAGTAATTCAACAAAACAATGGCTGCAACAGCACAGAATACGCCTTCTGGAGTGGCCCAGTCAGAGTCCTGACCTCAACCCGATTGAAATGCTGTGGCATGACCTTAAGAGAGCGTTTCACACCAGACATCCCAAGAATATCGCTACACTGAAACAGTTTTGTGAAGAGGAGTGGTCCAAAATTACTCCAGATCGTTGTGCAGGTCTGATCTGCAACTACAGGAAACGTTTGGTTGAGGTTATTGCTGCCAAAGGAGGGTCAACCAGTTATTAAGTCCAAAGTTTCACATACTTTTTCCTTCCTGCACTGTGAATGTTTACATGTTATGTGCAATTAAACCGTGGCAACATCTTATGTTTGTGTAGTATTATGTTCAGCAGACTGTGTTCTTCTATTATTGTGACTTAGATGACGTTCAGAGCACATTCTATGCCCAATTCATGCAAAACTCCACGTAATCCCAAGGGGTTCACATACTTTTTCTTGCAACTGTAATTCTTACCCCTTAACTCTGTGTTACTGAATCCTGACCCCTGAAATCTGTGTGCTACCTAAACCTAACCATTGAACTATGTGCGATACTTAATCCTAACCCCTGGACTTTGTGCATTACTTAATCCTGACTGCTGAACTTTGTGCATGATTTAATCCTAACTATTGAATTCTATTCGCTACTCAATCCTTACCCCTGAACTCTGAGCACTACCTAATTCTAATACCTTGGACTCTAAGCACTACCTAATTTTGACCCCTTAACTCTGTGCATTACTTAATCCTGACCCCTGAACTTTGTGCATTACTTAATCCTGACCACAGGATTTTGTGCATAACTTAATCCTGACCACAGGATTTTGTGTATTACGTAATCCTGAGCCCTGAACACAGTGCTTTACTTAATCCCTGAACTCTGTGCACTATTTCAACCTGCTCCTGAACTTTGTGTATTACCTAATCCTGACCCCTGGACTATGTACACTACCTAATCCTAACCCTTGAACTTTGTTACTTAACCTCCCTGGCGGTATTCCCGAGTGTAGCTCGGGGTAAAATTTCTATACCAAAAGCGGTAACCCCGAGCTACACTCGGGCTTACCTTGCGGCGCTGCATAGGGGGTCCCTGCAGCACTTACCTTGTCCTTCGTTCCCACGATGTGTCCCCTGTAGCGTCCCCGGCCATCTCCTCCGGCCGATGCCGGCATCCAGCTCCTGTGTTCCGGTCCCCGTGACGTCGGGACGTACAGGCGCCACCGGCGGCGGGAAATTTAAAAAATTTTAAAAACGTCATTTTTTTTTTCAATTTTAAATAGTAAAACATTGCTGTTTCATCCCGTTTCACATACATATTGTCCCTAGTGCTTTGCCCTGTGCCCTGCCTGCATTTTGTCTGTTCTTTCTGCCTGGAAACTTAGAAAAGTCCATGGCGTCCAAAAAGCGTCCCTTTACGTCAAAAGCGGTTTTAGACCGGCTAGAGAACAGCGATAGTAAATCAGAACCACTTGCAGAATTGAGTGATAATGATTTGTGGGGAAATTTTCCTAAAAATTACAGCCTACAATAAAAAACTATTTCCATGCGAAAAAATGGTACCGCTTTCAGCACAAAAAAATCGGAAGGAATCATACCGCTAAGGAGGTTAATCCTGACCCCCTGAACTTTATGCGTTACTTAATCTTGACCCCCTGAGTTTTTTGCTATTCAGCACTGCCCTCATTTAATTGGTAATTGCTCAGTCATGCAATACTATACCCGAATGTTTACACCATTTTTGTCACATAAACGTGGTATTTAATCACCACTTGGTCTTTAATTTTTTGTTAAACGAAAAAATACCAAACAAAAAGGAGCCAAGTCCAACCCCTGAAAAGCAACCCCACACCATAATCCCCCCTCCTCCAAACTTTAGACTTGGCACAATGCAGTCAGGCATGTACCATTCTCCTGGCAACCGCCAAACCCAGACACGTCCATCAGATTGCCAGACAGAGAAGCGTGATTCATCCCTGCTGCTCTAGAATCCAGTGGCGGCATGCTTTACACCACTGCATTCGTCACTTTGCATTTCACTTGGTGATGTAAGGCTTGGATGCAGCTGCTCGGACATGGAATTCCATTCCATGTAGCTCTCTATGCACTGTTGTTGTGCTAATCTGAAGGCCACATGAAGTTTGGAGGTCTTTAGCTCTGACTCTGTAGACAGTTGGCGACTTCTGTGCATTGTATGCTTCTGCATATGCTGACCCCGCTCTATCATTTTACGTGGCCTACCACTTCGTGGGTGAGTTGCTGTCGTTCCCAGTTGCCTCCACTTTGTTATAATACCACTAGCAGTTGACCATGGAATGTTTAGTAACAAGGAAATTTCACAGATGGACTTATTGCACAGGTGGCAATTTATCACGGTACCATGCTTGAAGTCACTGAGCTCCTGATAGCGGTCCATTCTTTCACAAATGTTTGTAGAAGCAGTCTGCATGTTCCGATACTTTTGGCAATATAGTGTATACCATAGATATTATTATATAATTATTATAGGATTTATATAGCACCAACAGTTTGCTCAGCGCTTTACAATATAAAGGGAGACAATACAGCAACAATACAGTTCAATACAAGAGGGTTAGAAGGACCCTGATCCTTGGAGCTTACAATCTCATGAAAATATCACATACATATTCCAATTCATGACCTGAGTGAGAAAATCCCACTTTACTACTGTAAAAAACAATAATTGTGTCACCAAGAAGTGTCCATAAACAGTCCACAACAATAAGTGCTGTTACAATCTTCCCTCTGTGGTCACTGGTGTCAAAGATGTTCAGTAGTGCACCCACAGAAACACACAGGGCTCTTACTAGATCACTATGACTATCCAAAGATTTGGAGGGGTGTCCCAATACTTTTGGCAATATAAAGTATTTGCAAATTGATAATTTCTGATGTACTGACAATCTCATTTCTTGAGGCCCTAAAATACTAGGACAGTACAAATATCTCTCAAATGACCCCTTTTTGGAAAGTAGACAGTCCATGGTATTCAGTAAGAGGAAGGTTCTTTAAAGTTGTAATTTTTTGTCACAATTTTTTGGAAAATTAAGAACTTAAATAAATCTGTATTTTGCTCA